TTTATGGGCTCTCTTCTGTTTTATTGATCTATTTGTCTATGCCTATGTCAATACCACATAATTACTATTACGGTAAGTCAAAAGTGAGGGAGTGTAAGTCCTCCAGTTTTCGTCAAGACTGCCTTGGATGTTCTGGGTCCTCTGTATTTCCATTTTAGAACCTGCTTGCCACTTGCTGGAATTATGATAGGAATCTATATATCAGTTTGGGAGGAATTTTTATCTTTACAATATTTAGTTTTCCAATGCATAAACATGACATATCTTCCTATTCTGGTCTTTTTCACAGCAATGCTTTGCAGTTTTCAGGGTAGAGGTCTTACATCTATTTTGTTGAATTTATTCCAAAGTATTTCATGTCAGTAGTATTTGATAATATTATAAATGGCTTTTTTTTAAATTTCATTTCAAACTGTTTGTTGCTAGTATATAAAAATAAAACTGACTTTTGTACACTGACCTTGTATCCTGTGACTTTGCCAAACCCACTTAACAGTTGCAGTGGCCTTATTTTATTTCTTAGGATTCCTTAGGATCTTTTACATAAACAACTATGTCCTCTGTGAAGTTTTATTTCTTCCTTTCTAATCTTTATGCCTTTATATTTCCTGCCTTTATTGCACTGGCCAGAACCTCTAGTATAATGTTGGATAAAAGTGGTAAGAATGGACATCCTTGCCTTGGTCCTGATCTTAGGGGCAAGATAGTCATTATTTCACCACTAAATGTGGTATATATCCTTTGCATTTTTTCCCCCACAGATGCCTTTTACCAAGTTGAAGATGTTCCCTTCTCTTTCTGATTTGCTGAGAGTTTTTATGATGGCTTCTTAAAAGTTGCTTTTTCTGCATCTACTAAAATCATGACTTTTTTCTTTTATTTTGTTAATACATAGAAATACTTTGATTTTCAAATATTAAACCAAGAGTGGATTCCTGGAATAAGCCCAATTTGGTCATGCTATACATAGTAATCTTTTTACATACTGCTGGATTTGATCCACTTACACACTGTTAAGGACTTCTGTACCTATGTTCATGCAGAGTAATAGTATGTAGTTTTCTTACTTCGTAATGTCTTTGTCCAGTTTTGACATCAGGATTATACTGGCCTCATACAAACAAGCTGGGAACTTCTTGCTCCTATTTTCTAAAAATTTTTCTAAGATTGGATTTAATAGAATTTAGTGGTGAAATCATCTGGGGCAAGAGTTTGCTTTACGGGTAGCTTTTGATTTACAGATTCAATTTCCTTCATAGATAGGAGTTATTAAGGTTTTACATTTCATCTTGTTTCAGCTGTGGTATGTTATATTTTTCAAAGAGTTTGTTGCATCTAAGTTGTCAGTTTTGTCATAAAATTGTTCATAATGTTCCTTTATTTTTTCATGTCTGTAGGATCTGTTAATGCTATCCTCACTTTCATTCTGATACTGGTAATTTGTCTCCTTTTTTTTTCCTTTATCAGTTTAGCTAGGGATTTTGTTTTTCTCCTAGAAATTTTGGCTTTTTAGATTTTCCTTTAATATTTGTTTTTTTCCTTCTACTTACTTTGGGTTTATTTTGCTTTCCTTTTTCTAGCTTAAGGTAGAAACCTGTATCACCGATATTATCTTTCTTCTGTTCTAACAGAAGCATTTACAGCTATGAGTTTCCCTGTAAGCATGGCTTTTAGGTGAATCCTACAAATCTTGATTTGTTTTCATTATCATTCAGTTCAAAATATTTCCTAATTTCTTTTGATTTCTTGCTTATTACCGGTGTGTGTTTAATTTCCAAATATGCAGGTTTTCTAGATATCTTGTTATTAATTTCTAATATAATTTCATTGTGGTCAGAGAACATATTCTGTAAATTTCAATCTTTTGACTTTTGAGACCTACTTTATGGCCCAGTATATGGTCTGTCTTGCTGAATGTACTGTGTGCACTTGATAAGAATGTATATTCTGCAGTTATTGGTTGTAGTATTGTATAAATGTCAATTAGGTCCAGGTGGTTGATATGTCCTTTTACACTCTCTAATTCTATCAGTTGCTGAAAGTGGAAGTGCTAACATATCCAACCATGACTGTGGATTTAATTCTATCAATTTTTACTTAAAGTATTTTGAAGCAATGTTATTAGGTGCATACATATTCATGATTGTTATGTTTTTCTACTGAATTGACCTTTTTATCATTATGAAATGCCTCTATTTCTGGTTATACTCCTTGTTTTGGAGACAACTTTATCTGACATTAAGGTAGCATTCTAGCCATTAATACAGCACTCCAGACTTCTTATACCTGTAGTTTGTATGGTATATCTTTTCTCAGCCTTTTACTTTCGATGGCAGATGACGAAGTTTTTTGTGTGAGGTAGATTGGCCCTGAGCTAACATCTGTTGCCAATCTTCCTCTTTTTGCTTGAGGAAGACTGTCGCTGAGCTAATTCTGCCAACCTTCCTCCATCTTATGTGGGATGCTGCCACATCATGGCTCGACCAGTGGTGCTAGGTCCGTGCCGGGAATCCAAACCTGCGAACCGCAGGTGGCTGAAGTGCAGCATGCGCACCCAACCACTATGCCACCGGGCTGGCCCTAAGATAAATTTTTTATCCTTTCTCTGTTTTTCAGTTGAAATATTTAGTCCAATTAGACTTTTTAAGTCTAATTACATTTTAATGTAATTATTGATATGATTGGGTTTACATTTAATGTTTTGCTATTTATTTTCTCTTTGTCCATCTGTTTTTTGTTGTTGTTCCTGTGTTCTTCCATTCCTGCCTTTTTAGGGGAGGAGAGTGCTAATTTAATACTTTTTAGAATTTCATTTTAATTTGTCTATTATCTTTTTAGCTATGCTTCTTTGCGTCTTTTTATTAATGGTTGCACTAGGGATTATAATATACATCCTTAACTTTTCACAAACTATTTAGGATTAGTTCTGTACCACATCACGTAAAATATAAAAACCGTCCAACTATAAAGTTTCATATACCCCCCTGTCCTTAGTTACATTTATAAATGTTAAACCTCACAATATAATGTAATAATTTTTCCTTGGAACAGTCATATGTATTTTTTAAAAATTAAACCAAGATTGTGTTTTATATTTACTCACTTGTTTATATTTGTTATCTCTGGGAGGACTGGTCCAACACATGAGCTACTCTGCTGTTATATCAGACAATAATTATTTTTCTAAGAACAAATGATCATTGTAATCATAATAACCAAAAGTTTACTGTTTTTGGAATGCACAGTTTTGTACTATTATTATTCAGTAAGAAAGGCACTCTTCCCATTACTAGTTCATATTTCCACTTTCCTGCCTTTAGTTCAAGCCATCTAAAACCATGTCTGTGATTATGTACTTGGTCTATTTTCCTAATTCTGTTAAAAATTGTGATGACATGAGCAACTCTCATAATTAGAAATTAGAATAGCTCCTTTCTTATCAGAGTGAATGAAAAAGTAGAAGTCCACACGCCCAAAAGACTGGGCAGGTACAACCTAGTAGAGTATTTATTTTTAAAGAAAATCTGAGCCCAAATTAATGCCGAAAGCATTGCTTCTTGACTGCTATCCCTGGGATGCAAGGAACCATTATGTTCTTGCCCCAGGAGTGTGGAAAAACTGACAAGTCTTGCTCTTGCATTCTCTCATTTTCCACCATCTTCACTTAAAAAGAGAAGGCCTCCTTACCCTTCTCTCTCTAAATGCTAAAATTTTCTCAGATCAGAGTAATGAATTCAATTCTGCCCTCTATAAACCTCTCTTCCTTTCACTTTAAGAGCAGTCCAATCTCTACTTCTTCAGTCTTCAATTCCTTTTGTCGCTGTTGGTACCACTACTTCACCAAAGGTACATCACTGCTTCCTGGTTACCAGTTAAGAGCAGGAGCTTTGCATCCAGACCTGGGTTCAAATTCTGATCCTGCCACTTACCTTAAAAAATTCATTTTGCCTCTCCCAACCTCAGCTTCCTCCTTTATAAAATGGGGATATCAGTACCTCTCTGTTGGAAGGGTTCAGTGAGACTGACCATTCCTTTCCTGGACCTTCTCTTCCTTGGCCTTCCTAACACTGCTCTCCTGGTTTTTCTCTGCTATCACTTGCTTTTCCTATCTTCTTTGTGGGCTCTTCTGCTTCTCCCTTTAAATGCTGATTTTCCATTTTTGGTCCTCTGTCTTCTTATTCCTAGCTTTCCTTGGGTGACTCCTTTCAAATCTATAGTTTCAGCTATCACCCAAAGCTAAATTACTCCTGAATCTTTATCTTCAAACTAGATTTCACACCTGAAGTCTAGCTATTCAAGTATCTAGTGGCTATCATCATTTGGATGTCTCAAAGATAAACACATCTAAAACTAGGCTCAACCCTCGTCCCTGGTCCCCCAGTGTTCCTCTACTCTGACCTGTGTAATTCTCCCCAGCAAAGAATACCCACCTTACAGTCTGTTCTTATCTGCCACATCCAGTCAGTCCCCAATTTCTGTTGATTTTACCTCCTAAATCTCTCTCACACCTCCCGCCTCCTCTCCATCTCAGTTTTTACAACTTGATGGTCACCAAGACCTTTCCAGTCACAGGCACACTAGACTCCACACTGATAGAGAAGTGAGCTTTCTCAGTTGCTCGGGGTACAAACCCCGATTCTGCCACATACCAGCTGCATGGGCAAGGGTACCACTTCTGATACCTTGCTGTTTATTGCTGAGATATGAGAAATGAAGAGTTTTCTGCTCAGCTGCTGCTTCAGTGTCAAAACAGACCCAATCATAAAGAATTCCAAACATAGTTTGCTTGGGCAATAGGTCAGTCCTCCAACTGCAAATTACAGTGATTAAAGGGCACTTCAAGTGCAAAATGGGGACTAGCCTCAAGCAAACTGCTGGCCTACTATCCATCAGGGCTGCAGCAGAGGCTGTGCTAGCACCAAATAGGAAGTTGGCCTTGAGGTTCCTCCACCAGTTTCACACTAGGTTTGGAAATAGATAAGGGAAGAGTGTGATCATAGTTCTTTTTAAAAGTTTTTATTGCGATCTCTTATTTTCATATCTGAATAAGAACTTTCCCCAAAGGGATGATGATACATAATCTTTATTCTAAAAAGGACATATATATAATGTATTGATAACAACTGGTCAGTGGTATCCTTGATTGTCTTAAATAAAAATTCCTCAGTTAAGAAGCTCTTCCTTTTTTTTTTTTGCCTTGGCGCTGATACCAGACCAGCCCTTTGCTCCTACTCCTTATCATACAAACATGATCTGGCTCTACACTCCAATCTCTCTAAAGGAGAAGATAGAGGGACGTGTTCTGGATCCCCTTGGGCAAGTGCAGCTGGGATACTCAACAGGCTGGGCCTCAATTTACAGAGCTTTTCTTTCATCTTTTTTTTCCCTTTAAATGTAGACTATTAGAGCTGGATTATTCACCCAAGACTTGTGTTTGCCTTGAGGGCAGATATACCCCACAGCCTGAGGATCACCTCAGCTAAGCCAAGGCTTCATCATGACAGGGCTACTAAGCAGAGGTCTGTCTCAGACTTTCCTTCCACAAAGGAAGGGGTCAGTCAGCCAGGAGATAAAAGTCCTTTCAAAAGCAAACAGAGTCACGTGCCCTGCTGGCCCTTGGAACTACATATATAGAGCCATGAGCCTTGCTTTCAGTTCTTAAAGGACCTGTCTGGGCTGTCTTCTCTCTACTTCCTGGCTGATGGGGCCAGCAGGGGACTGCACAGGCCTCAGGCTCCATGTGATCATCATGACATACCCTGTGTTCTGCGTTTTAATTCCGAGGTGCCCAGGGAACATGCTGGCCTCCACTCTGCCTGTGTCATGTGACCTTTCCTGGCCTGGTACATCCTTGCCAAAGACACCCCTACTCTGGGGTCATCTTAGTCCTATTTTTCTCTTATTTGTGCTGATGCTTCAGTTGGATGTGCTTCCTCAGTGGGCTCTGGCTCCAAAGGAAGAGATGGTGGCTTTGTGAGCTGGGATGTTCCTCCAGCACCTAGTAACAAAACAAACAGCTTGAACTCTCAGTTCTACAATTCCAGAAGAAATCATTAGTTTCACTATTAAATTCCAGGAAGAAATCCCACAGTTTCTGGGACTTGTGGGACTGTGGTATAGCTTTGCAGCTATGAAGGAAGACCATAACTGAGGAAATAAAGCAACAGTCAAGTTTGCCTTCAAGGACTCACTGAAAGAAATCTAATTACCTGTAGCACATTGACTTATGATAAGGCAGTGAAAATTCAAGCAAGACTACATAACAGAAGGTACTGTAATGTATTTGTAAACTTGAATATTGTAAAGACTCAGTGTACTGACCAAGCAACTAAGCCTGCCAGTAACTGTTACCCAATACGCAGCTTGCCTTAAGGAAACAAGTGCCAATTTGGCTCCCCTGTGGCTTTTTCTCCTTCTAGGCAACACTACATTGGCCATGTTTTGAGTGTGAAAAGTGCAAGCTTCACTCCAAGCTGTAATCTTGTTGTAGGCACATGAGCATGTAGCCTCCTACCTGAGGGGAGCTTCCTGTATGCGGCTGCTGAAGACATTGCCTGTCCAAGAGCTTGATTAGAGCCCAGAGGCTGCGGGACACTGGCAGCTTTGCTGCCTGAAGAGCTCCGGTGCTTTGATTTGGGATCTTTAACTGGTTTAGTCCAGACCAGTGCCTCCCCAACCTGAAGAGCAGCTCCCAACTTCTGGGCCATCTCCACCATCTTGTGCCCACATGTAAAGAAAGAAAGAGTCACAGGCATGACCAGCAGAGACAAGCCTACCCATCTCTCCCTAGGCCTTCAACTGAGGGGGTTAGCTGAAATAGTACTAACATTTGAGGGAGGAAGTACTTATTATAAGGAAATCATTCTCAAATAGCAAAGACAAGACTGCCCTTAGTGGAATGCAAGGGGGCTCATACAGTATCTCAAAACCCAACATTTCAAGTTTGACATGTTATTGGGCTAAACCCCTGCCTTTCCTACACGAGAAGAAGCAGGAGGACACTACAAAGAGGCACAGACCTCAACTCAGATGAGTTGTAGTATTGATAACAGATAACTCAGTAAGCCTGAATTTTCTCTTGTTATTTTCTTCTAGGAAAGTTTTTTCCCAGGCTGTTACTAACTAAAGAATTCATGCTGCCAGGAACAAAGCTAAAACAGGCAAAAGCCTATTAATACCTTATATTTGGATTATTTGGGCTTGATTCAAAAGGCTCCTGACAGCTAGAACAAGACATACCTCAGAGTCAAATTCCAGAGAGCTACTGTCTTTGAGTAGGTTGACTTTCTTCTCCATCTCCTGATACTGGGTAAGGGCGGCCCTCTTCTCGCCCTGGTTGTACAGCAGTACAGCATAGTTCAGGTTTACTAGAGGGTTACACCTGTGGCAAACAGACAGGGATTCTATGGAGCTGACGCTTTGCAATAAATGCTCATTTAGAAATCCTTCTCATTACACAAAAATAAAACCAAACTGGTTAAGTAGAGATTTCTCCATTCTGCAGTAAGGTGGGAACACTCATGCTGTGTGGACTTGTGGAAAAGAATCATGCAATTAATTGCCCAACCAGCAAAGCAGGCATTGGAACCAAGGCTGACATCTCAGCCCTCAACAGAGACCAGCAGGGTAGGGTTGAAAAGGGGATCTCTACCCTGCTGCCCAGCAGATGCCAGTGCAATACGTCCTGGGAGAGTCAAGTTTGTCTTAGATTAAACTGAGGCCAAAGTCCCATCTGATATTCCAGCTTGCCAGGGCTTTCAACAACCCGAGACCACTGCCAGTGCTGTCACTGGCCTCCTGACTAGTAAACTTGGAGTGGAAACATTTTCTCAGAAAGAGCCAGTTTCAGTTCCTGCTGAGCGACTGCATGCTTAGGAACCACATGCTTCCACACTTAGGCCTGCTGTGTACAAAGGCCATAGAGACTCGGGCAACGCCAGTGCTATGGCGCCACCTTGTGGCTTTGGAGAGTCCAGCCTCCCCAAGACCATTCTCGACAACTTACTTATCCAGGCGGACTGCTTCTGCGTAGGCTCTCTTGGCATTCTCTATATCTTCCAGATTGGTCAGAGCCACTGCAACAAAGAAGGCGAGCACTGTGGCTAGAGCCCAGCTTAGAAAACAAAAGGCATGTTTCAAGACCACAGCTCATTCAGCTCCCAAGCTTAACTCTTACTTTGCTCTCTCAGCTCCTGGAACCACCATCTACCCAGTCATTCTGTTTAGATATCTGTTGTCATCTTCTTCAACAGTCCCCTCTCCTCAGTTCATCAGGTGTCAAGTTTTGTGAATCCCATCTTTTGCAGGTTTTTTTCTGACATGGCCCTTGTTCAGGTGCATGTTGTTTCAGGCTCTCATTGCCATTTTTACCCCCTGGCAATGTCCCCACCTGCCTCCATCCACTTGCCACAGTGCTGCCAGATATCTCGCTGACTTACAAATCTGACCATGTCACTATCTACTTAAGAATCCTCACTGGTTCTCCATCACCCATAACCATGATCTTTAAACTTTTGTTTAGCAACAGAACACTCTCCCCTTTTTAATCAGTATTTTCTGGAAGTCTGATCTGGAAGTTCTGCCTACTCCACCTCCCCCAAACCATGCACTTACTTCTCCAAGACACTTATGAGGAGATCCGGGAGTACAACTGGAAAAACACAGCCTCTAGAATAAAGTCTAAAGTCCTCACACTATGCTTATGGCCCTCAATGTGACCCCAGACTGTCTTTCCTGACTCATCTCCCACTGCATTCTATAACACTATTGCCCACTAATTGAAGAGTACATGGTGTCATTTCATGACTGCATGCCTTTGTTCAGTGGCTTCTCAGCCATTCTGTGCTATTGAATTCCAGCTTATCTTTCAAAATCCACTGTGAAGGCCATCTCTACTTTGTGAAATTAGAATGGCAGCATATGCCTTACAATATGGCTATTTGTTTACATTCCTATATCCCATTACAACTGGGCTATCTTTGTATTCAGGCAACCCCCAAATCACCACCACTCAATTTGGTATTGCAACCTTTCTCTTATAAAGAACACCACAGTAATGACCAAAAACCAAGCTGAAGATCACTGTCAATGAGAACATAGAAACTGCTTTTGAGCATACATTTAGTAAGTTTAGTATATTGAGAAATATCCCCCAGAAAGAAGAGTCAGTACTTTTATATTATAGTAACAATGACATTAATAATAAACCAATTATATAATGACAACAAAACTAAGAGTTAACATTCATGGATTGTTTAATCATGTAATCCTCTCATCAGCCTGTGAGATATATCTAGTAAGTAGTGGAGGAAGGACTCTACCTAACAGCCAACCTCTTAACACTTGATCATATCTAGAACTTAGCTAGACTCAATATATATAAAAATGACTTGTCAAGCCAAGGGAAAACGATTGGTAAAAGATGAACTAGGGATGATCTTGATCTAACCTGTTGGTCTCTGAGTGAAATTCCCCAAGTTAGAAGCAACCAAGTGCTTTGTCATCTTTTTCTTTCATATTTCTTTAAGCTCTAGGACAGTAATCCAGGTTCCTATGGGATCTGCAAGGGAATGGCTTCCATGGGCCATTTAACCACAGGCCTCCTATGACTCTTAATTCATTTTTCCCTTGTTACAACTTTGGAGGGGGTTCCCCCCATAAATATCTCTTACCGGCCAAGAGCATGTAGAGCTCCCCCATCTTTGGCTGGAAGTTGATGGCTGCACTGAGAAAATGAAAAGCTGATGCATACTGCTGCATGGTTAAGTGGACAAGGCCCAGATTATACAGAATCTTCCAATCAAAGGGTGCCAAGTAGTTGGCTCGTTTCAGGCAGCTGATAGCCTGCAGGAGAGAGGGGGCACTCAATGAGAGGTTAGGGCAAGCTCAGCAGACCCAATAACTGCAGGGATGAACACAAACAAGGAAGATGAGGAGACACTCACTGCCACATATTTCTTCTTGCCAAAGAAGCACATTCCAATGTTATTCCAAAGTGGAGGACTTTCTGGAACAGCACAAGCTACAACTCTGTATTTAGTGAGGGCAACATCAAAGTCCCCATGGGTCTGCATCATGCTGCCCGCTGCCAAGATGGCCTGAAAACACAGGACATGAAAAGTTGGTAATTCAGTCATTCCTAAAGGACCGTAGCAGGCAGTAGCTTTGTTGGGTGTAGAGACTCCCATCAGGCCCAGCGGGCTCCAGCAGGCCCATCAGCATAGATTGGGACTGAAAAACTTCTTCCAGGGACATACATAATATATTCAAGCTACTGGGACAAGGGTTCATGAGAAATGTCCCCGCACCCCACACTGTGGCTCTCTTTGGCACAGTACATAAAAAGAAAAGATAAAATGTCCCTGATTCTACCTAGCTCATTTGTTTCCCACTTCTAGCCAGAGAAGTCAATATTTCAAGAGTACTAGGGCCCTTTAAATAAAAACTGCCTTTAATCTGTTTCTGGCAGCCCTTCCTTGGTACCAAGCACTCGTCTTTGGCCACTTAAGGTACAGCTCCTTCTGCCACAGGACAGAGGGTGACTCAGCTTTAGGCTTCATCGATCCAACCCTTTCATTTCTCTAAGGAAAGGTGTTAAGGTGGGGAGCTGATGGAGTCAGGTAGTATGACTTTTGAGATGGGATTGAGTCTATCCTTCCACAAACAGCCTGTTTTGCTGTGTCTCCCTCAATAATATTCATCCACTTGATGATCTTCTCATCCCTGAAGTCATATCTGCACAAGAGTGGTAACTGCAAATTCATTAAGAATCTAGAAGTCATTTCACCAGAATTATTTTTGACAGAAGTTGTGGAGGCTTTGCTAATTTCCTGAGTAACACATAAAACTTTCCCAGCACGACAATGTTGCTTTCTGCAATAAGTTATAGGCCTGTTATAACAAATGTGCTCTTTTAGAAAATAAGAAGCAGAACACCAACACTTTACAATATTTTCAAATAAGAAGAGCCATACTTATTTATAATTTTTCTAAGAAAAAGGCAATTTCTTAGGTATTCAAAATGCTTTGTAGGGCCAGATCACCTCCGCGAGCACTGGGACCATCTATGTGAAGGCTCTGGCGTGTGACAACCCACAATACCTTGTAGTTGGTAGGGTCATAAGTCAGTGCATTTCCAAGATGTTCAAATGCCTTCTGGTAAATGCCAAGCTTGGAGAAAAAGCAAACCAGAGAATTACATCAGGGAAGAGCTGGCAGATAAGGGGTCTGGCCAACCATACCTTCAACAGAAACAGCCTGACTTTTCTGAGTTCTCTTAACCAAAAAAAGAGCTACAGCTACCAGATTAAAAAAAAAAAACAACAACTAAAAATCCCCACATTTGTGCCCTCCCCAGCTCACTTTGTTGATTTGTCCCCGATAAAGTCAAAGTGTCTATTTGCCAGAAACCATCTCTGCCACACTAGTGCTAGTTCACATTAATGCCTCCTGGCAGAAAATGGGCTGTTTAGCCTCATCTCCCTTGGAGCCACCTCTGAAGCCAAAGCCCAGGAAGGGCCAGGATTAAGCTCCTGATTCCTTTTAAAGAAAAATGACACAGACAGAAAGGCCGCTGCAGAGGTAGAACTGGAGGCAGGATCAGCTGCCCAGAGAACTGGGAGAGTGGGTAGGGAGTGGGGAAAAGCCCCTCAGGGAGTCCTGGGCCCTGGGGTCCTCAGGCTGATATAAAGAAGTGATGGAGCTAAAAGAATTCCATGCACACTCAAGAATGTGGAGGGGAGAAGAGACTTCTTTTTCTAGACAATGCTTTGCCTTCTCTTTCCTATAGGACTTGGCTGGGAAGAAGGAACAACAGGAGTGGCCTTTGCCCCAAAGCCCTAATTGTGTCACAGTTTCTCCCCCGACAACAAAATGCCAGCCGCCCGACCAGACAGTTATTTCTCATATAAGCTCTTTCCTTGGATGGATAAGAATTATAATTGCACTAGGCTCAAACATTTATCTGCTTCTGATTTGAATGCAGAAAATTAAGATAAATCCCTTAGCTGACAAAGCATATCAAGTGCAGAGAGTAAGGTTCATGTGTTTCAGAGGACCTTTAGTAAAACATGTTAAAGTAAAATCAAACTGCAGGGAAACTGCAGTACACACAAATCCAAAAGCATTTCCGACATAAATACACAAATGAGTAAAGAGTTCTCATTACCTGTAAGTAGAGTAACCCTAAAGTTGTAAGAAGTTCTGTATTTTCTGGTGAGAACCTGCAACACAGAGATCAACAGAGAAGATGCTCAGAGGGAGATAAGACGTGCAGGCGAGACACTGAGACATGTGCATAGTCATGTGCCCACCTGCAACACTTGAGAGACACTATTGCTCCTCCCATTCCCCATGGAAATTCCCAAAGGTGATTTGGGAATTTCCTTCCAAAGTAGGTCATCTTAACTCTGGTTACAGGGAGGACTGCTCAGCAAGAAAGAAATGGGACTTAGACTCCAGACTCCTTTCTCAGGAACTTTTCTTAGGGCCAAAGTCCTAAGAAAGAACTACGGAATATTTTATGTGACTGTCCTGAGTACACCGATAGAATTAAAGAACAGTGCTTTATAAACCAAGTCAATCTAGAAGACACAGTGTTAGCCAGTTCCCTCTTATGGGATTTCTTTTTTTTTCTGTTCTCCCTGTACTCACAATGCCAGCCAGCATAATTTTTTGCATAATTTAGGATCCCAAGGGCCCTAACACTCTGATTTCCACATTAAAAAGTCATACTAAATAGCCAAACTAAACAACAGAAGGAAGTCACATACCAGCTCTAAGAAAGAAGTGGCCATTGGCTTTGGGGAGTAAACGCTGGTGTAAGTAAAAGAATATCTGCTTTCCAATCCCTCACTGTATTTGTCTTTGTCACAAAACCAAAGCAACACTGAACTGAGATGATCTGACTATAGGATCATGAGACAGTTTCAACAGTGAAAATGCTAAAAGGTAAGGAACCATGTTTCCTGCTTCTAAGAAACGAGGTAGGGCACTGGTTACCTATGGGGAGACCAGAACCAAATGGTCAAAGCCCCAGCCAAGGAAGGCCTGAGCTGGCCAAACAGAGCTTACTCAGTTCAACTGAGTGTTTGTCCTTCACTCTGCCACAATAAACATCCATTTTGATCACCTCTCTCCCTCAAACCACGTAAGTAACTTCCATGATTCTGGCAGAATCCATCACTCCACCAAAACATGACTACTAATCTCTAAAGCTGTGGGTCATAAACAATGGTCTCTACATTCTCAGTGAGGCTCCAAATGCTCAACTGTCCCCTTTTCTCCCCTGGGAAATTTAGTGACTTAAATCCTTGACCAGACACTGGAATAATGTCACCCTTCAGATTTATGTGAGCTAATCTCAAAGAGCTAACTTCTACAAGGCAGGAGTCAGGGATCAAAGCTTCCACTCAGCACCACAGAAGCTTAAAATACACTACATGGGCCCCTTCCTACTTGTCCATATAAACTTAGCCACTTGATGACAAAAAGTAGCTTAATAAACCAAGGGATTTTTGTCTTTTTAGACAGAAAATGTGGTAGAAGAAAATTGAGAAAGCAGTGTTATGATGGATATAACCAGAAAAGTTACTACCAGAGAAGAAGACAAAGGTAATTAACAAATTAACAGAAATCTAAGTTTAGTTCAGAGTCTAATTATCAAGAATAAAAGACTCTGTGACCTGAACCATAGACTAGGCATTATGGTAAGTGACCAAACAAATGAGACACTACAGTATTTTGCTACAGCTATCCCACTATAACAAACAAGACAAGACCCTATATAGAAAAGACAAAATAGCATGTGTCCCAAGAGAGGAAACATGGAACACCATTCTGGGAAAGCCATCAGTTCCATTATCAACATGGGTTTTGCCTACCCTAATGATGTTTTAAAAGACAAGATATTGGTCTCATGCTAATAAGGCCAGATGTTTATTACCAAATCAGGAGATTTATGTCCTTAATATCTCTGAAAATACAAGATCTGCTATAAAATAGTTTAAAACCACAATGGCAGACTGCCAGCTGACTCCAAAATCTATTCTCTCCTTCCTCCTAAGCACATGTATGCCCACCTTTCTTGCAGCTAAGTGTGACCACCTAACTAAGTTTGAACCATAAAATGTGAGCAGGAACAATGTTTGCAACTTCTAGGCCATTTAAAAGTTACTACCAGCTGCTTATTCAGTACTTAGTGTCCTGTACCACATCCCCCCACCACAGCCTGGAACATGGATGCTACAGTAATTATGTATGCTACCTTCAACCATGCAGGTGAAGACAACAACCTAAGGAAGGGTGGGTTAATAAGGAAGGGACCTGGATCCCTGACTGATCTTGTGGAGCAGAGCTGCCCAGCTGCGCTAGACCAGCCATAGCAAGAGGTGAGAAAGAAACGCAAGTCTTCCTTATTTAAGCCGTTGGGAGCTGCTTTTTTTTTTTAGCTGGGAAAGATTCTCCCTGAGCTAACATCTATTGCCAGTCTTCCTCTCTTTTTTTTTCCTCCCCAAAGCCCCAGTACATAGTTGTATATTCTAGTTGTAAGTCCTTCTAGTTCTTCTATGTGAGCCACCACTACATAGGCAGACAAGTGGTGTGGTTCCGTGCCTGGGAACTGAACCCGGACCACCGAAATGGAGCACACCGAACTTTAACCACTAGACCATCAGGAATGGCTCTAAGTCATCAGGAGCTCTTAACCTTAGCTTAACATTTACTCTAACTCATACGACTAGCAATCAGTCACATATACTCTGTCTTGGGCTTGGGAGTTCATATGTCTGCTCCCATTGTATTTAGTTTCTTGTTGCTCTAAAGGAAACAGACACACTTACTCCACTGCTTTCTTGTAGATTTCAATGGCCTTGTCCAAGTCTCCCTCCAGCAAGTGGATCTTCCCCAGCATTATGTAAGTCAGATCATGCCTGTTAAGATGTAGGGCGTTGTGCAACTGGTCTTGTGCCTAACAAAATTGATGGAGTAAAAAGAACCAAATCACTACCATGGAAGGGCAATGGCTTTGTATGGCCAATGTAAAGGCAGCTCCTGCTGTACTAATGTAGGAACATCCCATTTCAGCAAACAGCCCCCACTACCCGAGAAACTAAAACATACCAAAACTGTGTTTGTTGACCAGACAGCTGGTAACATGGGGTATCTATCTCTGGAGTCACTTGGGAGAGTTTATACAAGATGGTTAATCTTTTTGAGTGCTTCCTGCTTCTTGATATCCATACCCATAACTCATACTTCATAAGTCAAAAGGGACATCATAGTACAGCATACAGTAGGACAGCCATGAACTCACTCCCGCTGCACCACTGACCAACTGCACAACCTTCCCAGGATGGACCTCATCTTCCTCACCAGTATTCTGATGAATGAATGAACGGATTGTTTTCATTTATTCACTCAACATGTGTTCACTGCCTGTTGTTCTAGGTGCTAGGTATACTAGAGCTAACAAAACAAGCTACTTGCTCTGAAAGAGCTTAAATCCCAGTAGACGATCAAAAGGGCTTCATTTACAGAACGAGTATTTACATAAATGCCAAGTACTGTATTTGCTCTGATAGCTTTACAGTAAAATCTAAATATGTCTGACCAAAGACCAATCTACCCTCTCCCTTAGTTCTGAATAATCCTGTGAATAGAAATATACTTGCTTGGAAGATCCTCTAAAAAGGAAAACCTCATAACCAAGTATATAACACCATAGATCTGCCCAGAAAACCTAAGGGATGCACTAAATATATATATTTTATCTACATATAATAGTTATTTATTACATATCTCACAGGAGAAAAAGTTACTTTCACACCTCAGCTGCTGATGTATAGATTTTTTTTCACACCCCTGAGGGATAGATTAGGTTGCATCAGTTTGCAAACTGACCCAAGTTAAACATTGTCAAATGGGTATTAACCAAATCAGATTCTCAGTCCTGTCGGCATTGAAGAAAGGAGAATAAAACTTGACAAATCAGCTTTATGAAGGAAACTCTACCCAACCCCACTGTGGTTAATTTTCAGAGCTCTCAATAATTTAGTTATCCCTCAATTAAGATACATAAATTTTTGTCTTTATCTGAGTATCAAGGTAAGCTCAAATGTTTCATCTGATATAAGAGCCTTAGAGCCTATAGCTTACTCACAATGAAATATAAATCCTCATGTGGAAAATAACCTTAAGAACTGAAACTCTCAGAAATCAGATCCACTTAAAACCTAAACTTGATTTCCAATGACCTTAAAAACTAAAATCACTTGCCATCAGAGCATAAGATAGTTCACATGGTCATGATTACACTTTTAAGACTTAAAGGTCCACTTTTTGATATCTAAGTTTTACTGAATATTGTTTCTATACTAAAAATTAAACTGGGGGTAGAGAAAAGAGAGGAGAAAAGCAATTAGAATGCAATTCCCTCATAATATTTCTAGAATTTATTATTTTCTTGTTAAAAGCAGAAAAAAAACTGGGATAATGACAAATGAGAATAAAAATGGAGATAAATGTACAGTTTGCCCTCTGCATCATGAAATATGTTTGTGATGTGCGGTTGGTTAAATCTGCAGATGCAGAACCCAAGAATATGGAGGGCCAACTAAGACACTTGAGCATCTGCATTTTTTTGTATCCTCAGAGAGTTCTGGAACCAACCCTCTACGGATACCAAAGGATGAGTGAAACGGCACTTTCAATTTTTACTTCCAAAAATCTCTGCACTAGGAATAATACAAAATGAGCAATGGCACCTCTGTAACAACTGTACCCTCAGTGAAATCCCCAGCCAACCACTCAATCGCCACGACCATTTCTATGAATTACCTTGTTGAACTGTTTCAGATAAATGTAGCAAACTCCCAGGTTATGACAGATCTCCTGCAAACAAAAGAAAGGAAAACAGCTTAGGTACAAATTCCACAGTAAGTATTAGAGTGAAATAATAGGCACCTATCTAGAGGTTGTTATTGTTCAGCAACATTTAAACTTTAAAACGTGCATGATGGTTAATCTTTTACTAGATTTGATACTCAAATACAGTCATGCCTCCCTTAACAATGGGGATACAATCTGAGATATGCATCCTTAACTGATTTTGTCATTGTGAGAACGTCACAGAGTATACTTACATAAACCTGAATGGTATAGCCTACTACACACCTAGGCTATGTGGTACTAATCTCATGGGACCAGTTGAATACGTGGTCCATCCTTGACTGAACCGTCGTTATGTGGTGCTTGACTACATATTTAATCCTTCAAAATGCGTCAATATAAAAAAAACTACAGCTTATAGGAGATAAAAGCAGAATAAACAGGTGATCTTCCTGAGTCTATGTGGTACCTTGGGGTGCATACCTGGCCCATCCCCATATCTTTTTTCTCTAAGAGCTGCCCACTGCCCACACCCTCTGTGCCCTCTTCTGAGAAGAGACTACCCACAGCACCTGCTCCACCCCTAAAGGGATACGTATATATGTGTCAATCAGATTCCTTTCCCTAGGAATCTAGAATTCACTAGGTGATGTGGACTTGGGGACTGACAGTGTCATCTGAAGTCCACTATTACGGAATATATGCAATTGGAGCCAATCTGCCAAAGTCTACAGCAGAGGTCAGCAAACTAAGGCCCTGAGCCAAATCCATCCTCTGCCTTTTTTGTAAATAAAGTCTTATTGGAACACAGCCACAACCACTGATGGATTGTCTATGGCTCTTTTACACTAGAACTTCAGGTTAAGTAGTTGCAACAGTATATGAGGCCACAAAACTTAAAATATTTACTAACCGGCCCATTACAAAAAAGTTTGCCAACTCTTGATCTACAGAAAGGAAAAACGAAGCACAAATGCAGAGCAGCTACCTTGGTAGCTGACAGCTTCCCAGTTCTAGTTCACTGCAAGATGAACTTGTATTTCCTGACCTCAAGTTTTAAAGAATATCTCAAATTCCCTTGGACTAAATCTCCCTTTAAGATAGTTTTAGAGAAAGGAAAAAGCGAGGGTGAGGAAACTGCTCTTGGAAAAGAGAGAGAGCCTTCTTGTTAGTAGTGGAGAGATGTGGAAGCACATTCAGACCCAGAAGTATCCCTGGCTGAAGAAACATGGAGCCCAAGGCTCAGAGACAACAACTGATTTAATGTCTTCCAAGTCTCCTAAAATAACAATGACAACAAAAGAGCGATCACTCATTAACTACTTCACATCAGTCTCTATGCTAGATGTTTTTCATATATATTAATTTTCCCAGCAAATCTGCAACATAGGTATAACAATTCTGATTTTAGAGAAAAAAAATTAAAGCTCACAGAGGTTAAGTAGTTTGCCTAACTTAAGACAGAAAGTGTGAGCAGCACTGGGATTTTTTTTTTTTTTTAAGTCTAAATCTTAAGGAGAATTTCAACCATATATAAATACAGACAGAAGCACCATGTACTAATCATTCTGTCCCAAGAACCATCCAATCCATATTCCCATCTATCACACTACTTTTGTAAGCAAATACCAGATAGCCTAACATTTCATCCACAAATATTCCCGTATGTATTTCTAAAGGATAAGGTCTTTTTAACCTATAATATCATTATCATACTCAAAATTAATATCTGCTTAATATCAGATATTAAATCATGTTGAAATTCCTGATAGTCTCATAAATGTCTCACATTAAAAATTTTTTCTTCTTAAATAATGACCCAAATAACGTCCACACATTGCAAAACATTGAACTCGGGCCTGCCTCCAAAGCTTGTGTACTTTCCACTTACCATCCCATAAGAATGTACACATGGAGCTAGAGAGGGGAGAAATGTAGACCTGCTTGTCCTTTAAATGTTCTGAAAGCTAACTGGCCCTAACTTTTTAAAATCATTTGTCATAGATATTATTTGAGAAGGCAGCAGCAATATGCCTTAAGTAAACTGACAGCAAAGGAAATTTGAAAAGAAAAATAGAACAAATCAGAGTTAAATCCTGTCTTTCATGGGATGAGAGAATCTAGCAGACATCCTGCAAAGGCAGTTGATACAGTGGTAAGATCACAGGCCTACAGTGAGGAATTCTAGATTTGAAGCCAGAATTGTAGCTCTGGTTCTGCCATTACCTCACTGTGTACCCTTGAGCAAGTCATTTCATCTCCCAAAGCCTCAGCTTTCTCACCTGTCAATAGGGGAAATTTTCCCTATTTAACAGAGCTGTTCCAAAAGTCAAATGAGATAATGGCAGGAGGAATTATTATTCTCCTGTTCCAGCCAGACTGTGGAATACTGATGAGTCCAATAAAGTAGGCCTACAAGGTTTTCTGCAGGCCACAGACACTTATGAAGCACACAGGATGTAGAGTGGCCGTTCAGTGAATGACCAACTCTGCTGGTGCCAATGGAATGGTTATCCCTAGTGAATAACATTAAATGAGCTCTTTCAACCAACTGGATGGAGTAACAGACACTCTCCATTCTCCCTGTGACCCTGAGCTCTCCTGTTTCACTTCCTCCCTATCTCCCTCTATGAGCTCTTTTCCTCTTCCACTCAGCCCTCCAAAAGTTTTTTCCAGGGTTCCATCTTCAGCTCACTGCAGAGTGATCTCATCCAATTTCATGGTTTTCATTATCACCTTTATGTTGTTGACTCCAAAATGTGTATCTCTAGCCCAGAACACCAGCGTTTCAGATTTCTATAGCCAGCCACGCAATGGACACATCTCAATTCAGATATTCTACCAGAAGCTAAAACTCATCATGTCCATAATCTTCTGAAAGACAGGATTTAACTCTGATTTGTTATCATCAACCTCTCCCAAAACTTGCTTCTCTTTCTTTCTGTATTTCCTATTCTAGTTGATTGTCCCGTAATCCATGAATCCATCTCTGCATATCCAGGGCATAGTCCAGTGCCTGGCACATAGTAGACATTCATTTGTCAAAAGAATGACTAGATGAATGAAAGAGTAAATGAATTTCCCTTTATCTGAGCTTCACTTTCGCCTTTAGTTATAAAATACTCAGTGGCGTAGACAAACATCTCAATCTTCAGACCTATAGAAGAAAAGTGACTGACAAATTGAACACACTTCTAAAATAATAGTGCCGTAAGAACTACTGAGAAAATGCATGCTAGTTCTCTGTAGTAATCAATCTAATCCTTCAGTCATATATATGTCTTTCCAAGAATCATCAGCTGTGTGAATAAAAACCAACAGCATGGGAAAGAAAAACCAAAATGAAGAGAGGAAGAAAAAGATAATTCTAGAAAGCAGAATAGAAATTCAAATGTCAGAGAAATGAAGAGGCTATTTGCAAGAAGAGAAAAGACAAAGTTCTTGGAAATTAAAAATATAATTACTGAAATAAAAAATGTTGAATGGATAGGCTAAATAACAGAATGTGAATAGCTAAAAACAAAAATGATGATCTGGAAGATACGATTAAGGAAATGTCCCTGAATGTACAGAAAAAAGACAAGAACTGGAAAATATGAGAGGCAAGTTAAGAAACATACAGAACAAGAAGAGAACACGTCTAATAGAGTGGAAACCAGTGTGGCAGATGCTGCTAGTTAATATCTACTCTCCTCATTTTCCTTACTAACAGAATTCTAGTTTTGTTGAGAATGGAAATGTGTCCAACTTAAAAACTACATTTCCTGGCATTCCTTACAAAAAGGGTAGTTGATATGACATAAGCAGAAGTTTGCTGGGGACTTCTGGAAAAGTTACACTTTCCTAATACAGGTGATGTCTTTTTCTCTTTGTAGTTTCTCCCTGCCTAGAATGATGATGTGATGTTAGAGCTGCAGCAGATATCTTGTAACCATGAAGAAAAAGCCTCAGCCTTAACATCCTTCAGTCACCAAATCAATGCCAGCAACTACTTACCTGGACTTCTCCTTTCATGAGAAAACAAATAAACCCCTAATTTGTAAAGCCAATGTTTAGTCAAATCTTTTCTTGCAGTTACACACAATCCCTAACTGATCCAAGGAGACAGTGGAGGGGGAAAAAACAATTAAAGAACTACTCAAAGAAAATTTCCCTTACACAAAGAAAGGCAAAGGTCTTCAGAGTGAAAGAGCCAACTGAGTGTTCACAGATGAGGGGAAAAAAGAAAAGGAAGACATCTAGACAACTATGACTGACATTTCAGAACTCTCATGATAAAGAGAAAATCTTCAAAGCTTCTAGAGGTGAAAGTGGGGTAATCAACAAGAATCAGACTGGCAGCAGACTGCTCATCAGCAACACTGATGCCACAAACATGCAGCAATGTCTGCTAAGTTATGAAGAAAGAGGATTTTTGATCTTATACCTAACCAAATGGTCAGTTAAGTGTGTGGACAAAATAAAGACATTTTTGGCATGGAAGAATTCATAATAACAACAAAAGACAGCCATATGAGAAATGGAACAATTACCATATTATTAACAACAAAAAACTTCAAGCTCCCTACTTACCCAATCTTTCTGGTTAAGTTTAGCTGCTTCACTGTATACTTCAATGGCAGCTTTATGTTTTCCCAAAAGAAACCTGTGGAAGAAATACATTTTCTGTAATTATCAACTCAAAGCTTTCACAAAACTAACCCCACTAGTCCCACATTTGACTCATATTCCATCCAGCTGAGAATTCTGGAAGCCTCTTCCCTATGAGCTGGTTTGGCCAGTAAGGCTGCTCTATTCCATGAGCAGAAGCTCTCCTGGTAGTGACAGCATTGGTAGCTGTTCCAAGGCCTTGGTCCCATTCTACACCAATTTTACTCAGTCTTCTGTAATTTATCTTCTGCAATGTACTACAAACGTAGACCAAAAAAGAAACAAGCTAAATAATACGCCATGTAAAGTAAGAGCTGCCATCATTTATCATCATCACTGTTAGAGACATGCCCTTCTCTCCCAAGCCTAAGTCTCTTTCCTTGATAGTGGATCATGATTCTGGAGAGACAGGAGAAAACTGGGCTCTATGCAAAGACAGAGCAACTATCAATGACAATGTAGGTCAGAAAGTGGGGATGGGAACCCCATGGAATACTTTACTGCTCTGGCATAGTAAAGCTATTACTGTACCTAACAGCTAAGACTTTGATGGTTGCTTACATCCAGGAACCTTCAGGTCATTTGTTCAACAAACTTTTCTTAAAAACCTACTATGTCAAGTATTATGCTAAGTCTTGGAATAGTATATGAGAAAAATTCCATGGGCTGCCCATGAGATTAGGGGACTGAGGGCACCAGATGTCACTACAGACAGTCCCCAACTTAACAATGGTTTGACTTAAAATTTTTCAACTTTACCATGGTGCAAAAGCAATATGCATTCAGTAGAAATCCTACTTCAAATTTTGAATTTTGATCTTGTCCCAGGCTAGCGATATGTGGTACAATACTCTCTCACGATGCAAGACAGCAGCAGCCAGCCACAGCTCCCAGTCAGCCATGCGATCATGAGGGTAAACAACCAATATGCTTCTGTCCCCATACAACCACTCTGTTTTTCACTTTAAGTACAGTATCCAATAAATTATATGAGATATTCAACACTTCATTATAAAATAGGCTTTGTGTTAGGTGATTGTGCCCAACTGTAGGCTAATGTAAATGTTCTGAACATGTTTAAGGTAGGCTAGGCTAAAATATGATGTTCGGTAGGTTAGGTGTATTAAATGCATTTCCCACTTTCGATATTTTCAACTTATAATAGGTTTACCAGAACATAAACCCATCATAAATCAAGGAAGATATATATTTATAAGATAAACAGTATCAGTGTTCCCCCATCAAACTAGCATATACAGTGTTTGAAATACTCAGTTCCTTTATACTAGTTATCTCATTTTCTCAAATTTCAAAATTAATCCATACTGTTCAAAGTGAATCCCATTATACGTACTAAGCAACTCTCCCTCTGTGTATCAGGCTGATCAGGCTGCCAGAAGCAGCTTCTGTCTGAGAATGCACTTCACATTTTTCTCTTTGAGTACCCCAGGGCCTCCAGGCCGCTGATACTCACAAAGACCTGGCCACCTGCTTGAGGTTATCAGCACACTGAGGGCTGAGAACAGCACACGTCTGAAAGAGTTCTAGAGATTCTTGGATATTTCCTTCCAGGCGAAATATCAATGCTGCCAAGAAATAGAAAACATAGAAAATAAAATCACATTCTTGGAAGAATGGAACCTGGTAGCAGAAAAACTGGACAAGAGGGAGGTGGGAAATCATATCAAAGAAATCCTTTGGATAATTATATCTTTAATACAATTAGATATGACTTCAGATTGTTTGAAACAAGTAGCAAAGTAGTTGACAACCTAAAATCTTTTTTAACAAGGTATCTCAAACCTACCTACTCCTCCACTCCCAGCATCTACTATACAGATAATCCAATGCCTTGCAAATTATCCCACAAACTCTTCATAATAAGAACACGCGTGGGTTTCCCTATCAGATGCTCTATTTATCATGATAATTCAGACTTCCACCTGACAGTTTTCAGAGTACATCCAAATGGGGCAGGTGCAATCAACACCCCAAGTCCAACAAGGAGATTCTGACAAAATATGCAGTAATATTTCAGACTTACTTTTCAGTATAGCAACCAATCAAAATCAATAATTTTTCCTAGGCCTAAGTTTTTAGAAGAATTTACATGCTTAAGTATTATGAGGCACTGAAAGTCTAGAACTTGTGATACTGGTAATAAAAGAGCATTTTTTTCCCCATGATGTCCTAGATGTCTCAATATCTTACCAATTATGTCAAAAAATTATATATTAATCTGAAGGCTACAAAGCAATAAGTGGTAAACAAAACCATTCATTTACAGCAAAGAGTCAAAAAGAAAGTTACTTGAAAAACTAAAGATGCTACTTTTGGCACTAAAGAGAAAAATTTAAGTCAGTTGTTCCTATATTTGGTTTCTGATGAATTTCATTTATTCTCTGCTTTATCATATATACCTCTAAGCTTCTCCCCTTCATCCTGACTCATCTTACATAAAATAGACCCTAACCTCCATTCTGAAAAACACTAGCCAGAAACTAGAAAAGAGGTGAAGGACACGAACAAGTTGTTTTTAACAGAGTCATTTCTGAGGTCAAATCCAACATAAGAATTATGTTCCAGGGACGTCAGCAACATGGCAGAGTGGGCTCACCTGGGACTCTCTCCCCTCCAAACTACAACTAAAAGCACCAACTGTTTTCCAACCAAAAAGAAAAAACCCTAATAACAGAAATCATCAAGAGACCCACAGTAGCCAAACAACGCAGGGCAGAGAGGCTGGAGCTGCCCTTGGAGGAGGTGGAACAGGGTAAGAGAGAACTTTGCTCCCTCCCCTGGAGACTGGGATCGCTGCTGCGGGTGACGGCAGGAGCAGGGGAGGGGCCGCACATCTGGAGGATCGTCAAGGACTCCCACAGACCCGTGCAGCGGAAACCCTCTAACAGGGGAAAGCTTTCGCGTGGGGGTACCCCGTCAAGCCAGGACCCTGGGGAACCAGAGAGCCAGCGCGGAACGGACACCAGGTCTGCGTGCAAGAGAAAGTGCCCGTCCTCCCCCCACCCGCGTGGCATGCCGCCATCGCAGCTGAAGGCAGAGGGCTCAGAACATGTGGCTCTCGACCCCCATCTATTGGCGACAGGCTGTAACTGTAACCGAATAATAGCATCACGCGCAAAAACCGCTCCTCCACCATCCAGCAATTTATAAAAGCTCCAGACCAAAAGGAAAACAATAAAAACGGAGAATTATGTCCTGAGGACTTGGAAATAGGTAAACTAAGTGACAATGAATTCAGAGTAGCTATCATCAAACAACTCAATAAGGTAAAGGGAAATATAGAGAAACAAGTCAATGAGTTCTGGCATTACTTCACAAAAGAGATAGAAACTATAAAGAAGAATCAATCAGAAACACTAGAGAGGAAAAATACAATGGATCAGATAAAACAGAATACAGATTCCCTGAATGCCTGTGTAGACACCATAGAGGAGCAAATTAGCATAATCAAAGATAGACAGGCTGAATGGCTCCAGACAGAGGAAGAAAGAGAACTAAGAATTAAAAAAACTAAAGAAAATATCCGAGAAATAGCAGACTCAATGAGAAAATCCAACTTAAGAATTATCGGAATCCATGAGGGTGTGGAAAAGGAAAATGGAGCACAAAGCGTGCTTAACAAAATTATAGAAGAGAACTTCGCAAATCTAGGGATTGAGAGAGAAATGTGAGTGGAGGAAGCTTTCAGATCTCCTAGATTTGTCAATGTAAAAAGACCTACTGCAAGGCATATAGTACTAAAAATGGCAAAAATGAATGACAAAGAAAGAATTCTCAGGGCAGCAAGGCAGAAGAAGATAACCTACAAAGGAACCCCTATCAGACTTTCAGCGGATTTCTCTACAGAAACCTTACAAGCTAGGAGAGATTGGAATGACATATTCAAAACTTTAAAGGATAAAAATCTTCAGCCAAGAATACTCTATCCAGCAAAAATATTCTTCAGATATGAGGCAGAAATTAAATCTTTTCCAGACAAACAAAAGCTAAGGGACTTTGTAGCCACAAGACCGCCACTATAAGAAATCCTCAAGAAGGCTCTCATACCTGAAACAAGAAAAATAGGGAGAAAGGGGTCACAAATCACAGAGTAGGGAGACAAATAGACAGAATCAGAATAGGATAGCAAATATTCAACTATAGCGTTAGGATAAAGGGAAGGAAATCACCAAAGCAAAGACAATCCTATCACTCTAACCACAAACTCACAAAACAAGTTGGAATAAGAGATGAAAATAATATTTTAGGAGGGGCAGAGGAAAGGGACTGAATCAGTCTAGGCAAAGGAAGTAAGAGACCACCAGAAAATGGACTATGTTATACACGAAATTCTGAATATAAACTTCAGGGTAGCCACTAAACTAAAAAAGGGAACAGAGACACATAACATAAATAAGGAAAAAGCTAAGAAACCCAGCATAAGAAAATGCAGAAGTCAAGGGGTGGGCTAACACACACAGAACGAGAAACAAAGGAAACGCAGGAAGACCAGAAAACGAGTGACAGAATGACAGCATTAAGCCCTCATGCATCAATAATCACCCTCAATGTAAATGGACTGAACTCTCCAATAAAAAGACAAAGAGTGGCAAAATGGATTAAAGAACAAGATCCAACAATTTGTTGCCTCCAGGAAGCACATCTCAGCTCCAAGGACAAACACAGGCTCAGAGTGAAGGGGTAGAAGACAATACTCCAAGCTAATTGCAAACAAAAGAAAGCAGGTGTCGCAATACTTATATCAGACAAAACAGATTTCAGGATAAGGCAGGTAAAGAGAGACACAGAGGGCCAATACATGATGATCAAGAGGACACTTCATCAAGAAGAAATAACACTTATAAATATCTATACACCCAACACAGGAGCACCAAAGTTCATAATGCAACTATTAACAAACCTAAAAGAAGATATCAAAAATAACACAATAATAGTAGGAGACCTCAGCACTCCACTCACATCAATGGACAGATCATCCAGACAGAAAATCAACAAGGAAACAGTGGAGCTAATGAAAAGCTAAAACAGTTAGACTTAAGAGACATATAGAAGACTTCATCCAAAAACAGCAGAATACACATTCTTCTCAAGTGCGCGTGGAACATTCTCAAGGATAGACCATATGTTGGGAAACAAGGCAAGCCTCTACAAATTTTAAAAAATTAAAATAATAACAAGCATCTTCTCCAATCATAATGCTATAAAGCTAGAAATTAATTACAAGAAAAAAGCTGAGACAGGCACAAGGATGTGGAGACTACACAATATGCTATTGAACAAGCAATGGATCATTGAAGAAATTAAAGAAGAAATAAAAAAATACCTGGAGACAAACGAAAATGATAATATGCCATACCAACTCATATGGGATACAGCAAAAGTGGTATTAAGAGGAAAATTCATCGCAATACAGGCACATCTTAACAAACAAGAAAAATCCCAAATAAGCAATCTTAAACTACACCTAACTGAATTAGAGAAAGAAGAACAAACAAAGCCCAAAGTCAGCAGAAGGAGAGAAATAATAAAAATCAGAGCAGAAATAAATGCTATTGAAATGAAAAAGGCAGTAGAAAGGATCAATGAAACAAAGAGCTGGTTCTTTGAGAAGATAAATAAAACTGACAAACCCCTAGCCAGAGTTACAAAGAAAAAAGAGAGAAAGCCCAAATAAACAAAATCAGAAATGAAAGAGGAGAAATAACAACAGACTCCTCAGAAATACAACAGATTATAAGAGAATACTGCGAAAAACTATATGCCAACAAAATGAATAACCTAGAGGAAATGGATAAATTCCTGGACTCCTACAATCTCCCAAAGATCACTCAAGAAAAAGCAGACAATTTGAACAGATCACTCACAAGGAAAGAGATTGAAACAGCAATCAAAAGTATCCCAAAGAACAGAACCCCAGGACCAGATGGCTTTCCTGGGGAATTCTACCAAACTTTCACAGAGGATTTAATACCTATCCTTTTCAAGCTATTCCAAAAAATTAGGGCGGATGGAACACTTCCTAACACATTCTACGAGGCCAACATCGCATGGACACCAAAGCCTGACAAAGCACGGAAAAGGAGAACTACAGGCCAATATCACTGATGAACATAGATGCAAAAATTCTCAACAAAATTTTGGCAACCCGAATTCAGCAATTCATCGAAAGGATCATAAATCATGATCAAGTGGGATTCATACCAGGGAGACAGGGATGGTTCAACATCCGCAATTCAATCAACGTGATACACCACATCAACAAACTGAGGAATAAAAACCACACGATCATCTCAATAGATGCAGAGAAAGCATTTCACAAGATCCAAGAGCCATTCATGATAAAAGCTGTGAACAAAATGGGGATAGAAGGGAACTACCTCAACATAATAAAGGCCATATATGACAAACCCACAGCCAACATTATACTCAATGGGCAAAAACTGAGCACCATCCCCCTGAAAACAGGAATGAGACAAGGATGCCCTCTATCACCACTCTTATTTAACATAATACTAGAGGTTTTGACCAGAGCAATTAGGCAAGAAAAAGGAATAAAAGGAATCCAAATAGGGAGGGAAGAAGTGAAATTCTTGCAGTTTGCAGATGACATGATCTTACATACAGAAAACCCCAAAGAATCTATTGGAAAACTTTTAGAAGTAATCAACAACTACAGCAAAGTTGCAGGGTATAAAATCAATGTACATAAATCAGTAGCATTTCTATACTCTAATAACGAACTTACAGAAAAAGAACTCAAGAACACAATACCATTCACAATCACAACAAAAAGAATAAAATACCTTGGGGTGAATTTAACTAAGGAAGTGAAAGATCTATACAACGAAAATTACAAGACTTTTCTGAAAGAAATGGATGACAACATAAAGAGATGGAAAGACATTCTATGTACATGGAATGGAAGAAGAAACATAGTTAAAATGTCCATTCTATCTAAAGCAATCTACAGATTCAAAGCCATCCCAATCAGAATCCCAATGACATTCTTTACAGAAATAGAATAAAGAATCCTAAAATTCCTATGGGGCAACAAAAGACCAGAATTGCTAAAGCAATCCTGAGAAAGAAGAACAAAGCTGGAGGCATCACAATCCTGACTTCAAAACATACTACAAAGCTACAGTAATCAAAACAGCATAGTATTGGTACAAAAACAGGTGCACAGATCAATGGAACAGAATTGAAAGCCCAGAAATAAAACCACACATCTACAGACAGCTAATCTTCAACAAAGGAGCTGAGGGCATACAATGGAGAAAAGAAAGTCTTTTCAACAAATGGTGCTGGGAAAACTGGACAGCCATGTGTAAAAGAATGAACATTGACCATTCTTTCTCACCATTCACCAAAATAAACTCAAAATGGATCAAAGACCTAAAGGTGAGACCTGAAACCATAAGGCTTCTAGAAGAAAATGTAGGCAGTACACTCTTTGACATCAGTATTAAAAGGATCTTTTCAGACATCACATCTTCTCAGAGAAGGGAAACAATAGAAAGAATAAACAAATGGGACTTCATCAGACTAAAAAGCTTCTTCAAGGTAAAGGAAAACAGGATTGAAACAAAAAAACAGCCCACTAACTGGGAAAAAATATTTGCAAGTCATACATCCGACAAAGGGTTAATATCCATAATATATAAAGAACTCACACAACTCAACAACAAAAAATCAAACAACCCGATCAAAAAATGGGCAGGAGACATGAACAGACATTTCTCTAAAGAAGATATATAGATGGCCAATAGGCACATAAAAGATGTTCATCATCGCTGATCATCTGGGAAAGGCAAATGAAAACTATACTAAGATATCACCTTACACCCATTAGAATGACAAAAATAACTAAAACAAATAGTAACAAATGTTGGAGAGGTTGTGGAGAAAAAGGAACCCTCATACATTGCTGGTGGGAATGCAAACTGGTGCAGCCACTAAGGAAAACAGTATAGAGATGCCTCAAAAAATTAAAAATAGAACTACCATATGATCCAGCTACCCCACTACTGGGTATCTATCCAAAGAGCTTGAAGTCAGCAATTCCAAAAGTCCCATGCAGCCCAATGTTCACTGCAGCATTATTTACAACAGCCAACATGTGGAAGCAACCTAAGTGCCCATCAACAGATGATTGGATAAAGAAGATGTGGTATATATACACAATGGAATACTACTCAGCCGTAAAAAAGAACAAAATTGTCCCATTTGCAACAACATGGAGGGACCTTGAAGGAATTATGTTAAGTGAAATAAGCCAGATACAGAAGGACAATCTGTGTATGACTTCGCTCGTATGAAAAATTTAAAAATGCAGACAAAGAGAACAGATTAGTGGCTACCGGGGGAAAGGTGGGGTAGGGGGTGGGCACAAAGGGTGAAGGGGTGCACTTACAACACGACTGACAAACAATAATGTACAACTGAAATTTCACAAGATTGTAACCTATCATTAACTCAATAAAAATTAAATTAAAAAAAAGAATTATGTTCCAGTTTCAAAAAACAATAATACTGAATATGATCTCGTGGAACGTTTATTCAAATTTAAATATTTCATAATTTGTTTGCTCTATTTTCCAGAACCTAGGTAAAATGTGCATTTCTCTACCAAGAAGAGAAGAAATATATGTCTTACCTTGGACATAGATAGCATATTCACATAACCCTTGAGTCTCCTGAAGCTGTTCTTTAATAACAGCCTGGAAGAACAAGAAAAATACTTCTGAGCAGTGGTTAAGTATCTTGAAGTATTTTTAAGAAAAGGTAGACATGGACAAGGAGCATATGTAAGAAATCTAGGACACTAATAATTACTAATAAAGTAGTTTATTCAGAATTTATTTTTAAATCTCAATTCTCATTATGATTACTTATTCTAGAACAGGGGTCAGCAAACTTCAGCCCACAGGCCAAATCTGATCCACAAAGCCTATTTTTGTACAGCTCTCAAGCTAAGAGTGGTTTTTATATTTTAAAGGGTTATAAAAAAAAATAAGAGAAGATAAAGAATATGAGACAGAGACCATTTGTGGGCTGTAAAGCCTAAAATATTTACCATCTGGCTCCATATAGAAAAAGTTTGCTAACTCCTATCTAGAATCTAACTAGGCAAGCTAAGAAAAATATGAAAAGATTCCCAAGCATCATTGTAGATGCTAAGGGCTCTCTGAAGAAGAAAATATAGGGTCTACCTTTCTACTATGCTGGGCTAAGCCCAGGATGTTATAGGAGTTCAGAGGAGAAGCAACTGATTCTAACTTGGAGAATCGGGGAAAGCTTTTCAGAGTAAACAGTTTCAAATATTCTGTTGGCAAGGGGTGGAGAAGGTGAGGTGGTCAAGAGACCAAAGAAAGAAGGACTTCAAATGCCATGCTAAAAAGGTTGAGAGCAATGGGAAAATCTTGGTAAGGTTTATGCAGGAAGTAACCTGAATCTGCTCTAGAAAAATTATTTTTGGAGCATTGTTGAAAACAGATGGAAAGGAGGCAAGATTAGAGGCAAGGCTGGTATAAGAACTCTTGTGGTAGTTTAAATAAAAATGATGGGATTAACTAAGGCATGGAGAGGGAGAAAAGTGGATAATTTCGAGAGATAGTAAGAGAAGATCTCCAGAACTTGATGATTATCTATATACTATTAGGGAAAGTGGGTCAGGGGATTCCGACACAAACACTGGGGGAATGATGGTACCTATCCCTGAGACAGGAACAGGAAAAGGAATAGGTTTGGAAGTAAGCAGATAAATTCAGCTACAGAAAAGTTGAATTTGAAATACCTGTGAAGCATTCAGTAAGTATCAGATTGGTCTGAAGATCAGGAGAAAGTGTGTGGAATGATCAGAGAAAGGGGTCAAGGATAGGACTTAGAAACAGCCCCAAATGTTAAGAAATAAGCAGTGGAAGAGAAGCCAAAATAACAAAACAGAGAAAGTGGTCAAACAAAGGAAAAAGGAAACAAGAAAAGGATAATATCAGAGAAGGGAAGAAGGAAACCTTTCAAGATTCAAACTGGTACTGCTACTAAACTTTGCTAGTTCTGTGCATTGCCATAGGTACAAATGCCAGGGGTATAAATTTAAAACCACAACCTTAGAAGCATTACAATGCTCTGAATGACAAAAAGACAATACCAAGGATATATTTTGAATGTTAATACTACTGTCTGCCAGCAAGTATGTAACATATATAGTATGTTACCAAAGATGCAAACAGACAGAGAAAGGAAATACAAACAGGTTTTAAATACACAAATGATGATTAAGTTCACTATAATAAGAGAATTTTAAAATAAAACTCAATGAAATACCATTTTTCACCTATCTAGGGATCAAAAAATTAAATACTATGCTGTGTCGAACATCTGCCCCCCTCCATGAGACCAAGAAGTCCCAGAGAGTGGCTGCTCCTTCAATCTAGTCTTGAAATGAGAAGACACATGAAACACACCTGAACCTGACCGACAGCCTGTAGTCAAACCTAGCCAACCCACAGCCAATCTGAAGGCCCATGAGCAATAAACAAACGTCTGTTGTTGGAGGCCACTGAGATTTTGAGGTTGTTTGTTAAGTAGCAGTATCATAGCAAAAGCTAACCAATACACAAAGTGTGGGGAAACAGGAATTCCATACATTATTAGTGGGACATGAACTCCCACAGACACTGTTAGTTGCCTAACCAAAGCCTGCTTCTTATTTTCTCTATCATTGCAATCTCTTACCTTGCATGCTTCATAATCCTTCCGGATATAGTGGAGATGTATCAACCAGTTCTGCTTCTCCAAAATAGGAAACTCTGGAGCTGGGTAGCACATTTTGACAAAATAAACAACATAGTCATTGTTAGATTTTCTCCTTTAGCAGTGTCCTCATGCCTAAACTATCCACAAGCATATTGCCATTATTACATCAAATTCTTCATGCTGCTGATTATAAGAATATAGTGCATCAAAAATGTATAATTATTATTTGGGGCCGGTTCCGTGGCCGAGTGGTTAAGTTCACGCGCTCCGCTGCGGCGGCCCAGGGTTTGGATCCTGGGCGCGGACATGGCACCGCTCATCAGGCCACGCTGAGGCAGCATCCCACATCCCACATCCCACAGCTGGAAGGACCTGCAACTAAGATATACAACTATGTACAGGGGGTGTTTGGGGAGATAGATCAGAAAAAAAAAAAAATTTTTTTTTAAAAAGTATAATTATTAAACTAAAAGATACTTGTCCTACCATTACACATTGAATATATGCTTCTCTTCAGTTTTTATGGCTTATACTGTCAGTTTCTCAAATGATGACCTGGCCTGAAAAAAAAATAAAATCATTCTTTGTTTCTTGTCCTGTCTCTCATCCTAGTTACAGAGATGAATAAGAAGACTTTCTAAAGGATATTTCAGGACTGTTACTAACAAAATCTATATAACATAATGTCACATCTGATAGATCAGAGGACCAAAACTAGTTAAACACAGTCTTAGCAATAGCTCAAAAGTGAAACATTACATTGTTGCCCAGGTTTATGAGAAGTCAACAATGAAACAACAATGAAAAAAACCTATTTGAGTCAATGAAATGATTTATGATAGAGAAACCACAAAATAAGCTACTATCCCTTTGAATTCAGAAGTTTAAAATACAAATAAAAATTCATTAAGAAATTATTTTTCTATGGTAACAAGGAGATGGATTCACACCAAGTTCAGAACAGTGGCGACCTCAAGGAAGAGATGAATGGGATCAGAAAAAGATAAAAAAGAGACTTCAATTCTTTAATGTTTTATTTCTCAAAAAAATAAAAAGCTCTAAAAGTATACATGGCTAAATGGTTTTATTTATTAAATCTGGCCAGTGAGTAAATGGGTGTGTGTATTTTTTAAGGCACTTTAATATATGAGATATTCGCTGATTTTTAAAAATGTAAAAGAAAGGGTACAGCAGGGGAAGAGACGGAAATGATTTGTCATCATTTGTGATCATTCTGTTCTAGAACCTTAGGAGATACAACAGAAAATGTAACACTTATATGTCCATAACACAGCAGGAAGGAAAAAAAGCTTACTGTGACCTAGAGTTAATGTTGCCAGAACACAAAAATTAAGAAAGTAATACTACTTACTCCTTCCCAAGAATAGGAAATATCAATGGAATTTGTAAGATGAAATTATGACAGAAAGAATAGATATGATTTTATATGCTAGAAGGAAGAAAAAAAGATAAAATGTTAAGCAACTGACTCTTCATCTTCCAATTACCCACATTCTCTGAGTGGGACGCTACCTTTCTTCTAGTCAGCAAGGGCCTATTTCACATTCTTTGATGACTTTTGTTTCCTTCCTTCTCTTTCCCCAGGCCCAATCAATCATCATATCGTAGCCATTCATGTTCTGCCTAACCACTTCCAGAATTAAATTTTCTACTAAAGGCCATACAAATCATCAAGTTTAAAGATGTGTGTGTGCATGTGTGCGTGTGCATGTAAAGTGAGTAAAGAAATACACCATAATAAATAGTTCTGAGAGAAATAGTTTACTGAGTAATCATGGACCAAGTCTCAATTGTATGGTCTACTCCTCTGTCACCTAACCGCTAGAGTGAGAGAGGAAAAGAGGAGACACTGAACCCCTTGAGTTTATAATATCACTAAGTATCATTGCTTCTACAGTCTAAAAGACAAAATTTATAAAATGAAAATTTGATTCTTGCCTATTATTAAATTCTCACAATAAAAGATAAGTCATTATTTGTGTTCCCTGGGTGAAGAATGGAGAAAATAAATGTTTCAATTTGTAAGGTAGCTTAAGGGCCCAGAGGCTCATGAAACAGAGCCCTAGGGATTAGAAGAAGGCATGGCACCACCAAATCCAAGTGCTTAAATGTCAGTGCACACTCCTGAAGATGTAGTTTGTCTAAAACCTAAAAGAAATTTAGCTTCATCAAAGACTTCAGAAATCACTTCAGGGCCTCATAATTATCCTATTACTAACTGTGTGATCTTGCAAATTTGCAATTTCCTCGTCTATAGAGCCTCATTCATTCATTCAACGAATATTCACTGAGTGCCTACCATGTGCCAGGCACTGTTCTAGGCACTGGGAATAGAAAAGTGAACAAAACCGACCCCCTGCTTTCAGGAAGCTTCAGAGGGTTGTAAAAAAGACCTTGTTCCCACACACCCCTTCCACCATCATCAATGAAGACAAGGTAAAGTCTTTCAACTGGTTGTAAAAAGACCTCATTCATATCCCGAGCTCCCACACTGCCCCTTCACCATCACCAAGTGGTGGGGTGAAGGAGGAAGGCTCACAACCTGGCAGCAATATTCCCTTGGCCCTTCTCTTCTCCTACCCTCCTTCTACTCTTTTGTGATATCTATTCTCCCTTCCCCCCTCTAAGGATGCACCAGACTTACATCTTAAACAATTCTATAACTGAATAAACATGCCATCTCAAGAATTCTTCTCCCCATAATTTGCCCTAGGTGCTAAATTCTCTTAGGAATGGCCCTAACTCAAACTTTCACATTAAACTTTGATTACTGCTAGGGTACAGCATCCTGGATATATGAAGGCTGAGTAGAAAATTACTGTGCTTTGAATTTCTAGTTGAAAAATTTTCTAAAATGACTAAGGCTTTTGTATGTACACTATAAACAAACCCTTCTTCAGTAAAGGATCTCTTCCAGGACTAGCAGACACGCATACAGACATTTTACATGTAGAATTCCAATCTTGATTCACTACCAGCTTTCTACAGGACAGAGAGCAAGTTATTTAACTTCTCTGGACCTCCATTTTTTCTCCCTATAATTTTCACTGGAAAATTATGAAAAATCTGAAAGTGGTCATTCAATAAATGCTAATTTCCTCATGTTGTAATAGGAACTATAACACTTTTCTACCTCAATCTACTATTTGGGACATCAAAAGACATAAAAAATCTTGAATAGAACATAAATGTAAGACATTTTTATTATTTATTATCACTTTGAGCTCTGTGCCAGTCAGGGTCTAACAAGTAAACATGGAAACCACTTGAGGATTTAAAACAGAGGGACTTCAATGCAGTGAAAAGTGATGGAAGAAATGAGAGACCCAACAGGGAATGGTGAGACAAATCAGAGGTTAGCATGGGAGCAAAAAGCCACTACCCTCTATAGGGTGGAGGGAGAAAAAGAGAGGAAACATTTTGCTACCAGTATCCAAGGCTGAAGTTACCTGGAAGAAGCTGAAAACAAGATGGTGTGACGGGCAGAAGAAACAAAAGAGATGCTTCCAGAGACCACCCCACTCCTCCAACTTCCCCAAGCAGAGAGAAAGAGGGGAAAGCACTGGCTTCTCCTTCTTCCTGCCCTCCAACCTCCTGCCAGTTCCTCCCATTTGTTAATCCAGCCAGAAACTGCTGACACAAGAGCCTGAGAAGGAATGAAGCCTGCAAGGATCAGCTCCTCACAATATACAGCACAGACAGGAAGTGTAAGGAATGGATCCGACGGCAAACCGGCCCAAGATCAGCAGAAACATCAGTTCTGTTCAGGAACATAAATGATGATGGAGGAGGAGAAGGAAACTGGAATAAATCAGTACTCACTCAAGGATACATGCTACAAGCTGCCTTTTATTATTATTATTATTATTATTATTATTATTACTAAATTGCTTGCTATCCAACTTGTTTGCTTCTCATGAGCTTAAAATGGGATGAGGAAGAAAAAGTCATATAAAAGATCAATTATGGCTTTACTACATATCCTAGATTATTTAAAATTATTTTACTAACTCAAATCAAAACAATAATTATATTTTATTCTTTTTAGGGGTACATGGGTATGTATCCCCTCATATATATAGCAGTGCCCCCTTATACGTAGGTTTCACTTTCTGCAGCTTCAGTTACCTGTGGTCAACCACAGTCCAAAAGTATTACATGGAAAACTCCAGAAATAAACAATCCTTACATTTTAAATTGTAAGCCATTCTGAATAATGTGATGAAATCTTGTGCTGTCCTGCTCAGTCTCACCCAGGACGTGAATCATCTCTTTGTCCAGTGTACCCACGCTGTATACGCTATGCTCCCGTTAGTCACTTAGTAGCTGTCTCAGTTATCAGATCAACTATCACAGTATCACAGTGCTCATGTTCAAGTAACCCTTGTTTTACTTAATAACAGCCCCAAAGCACAACTAATGCTGGCAATTCGAATATGCCAAAGAGAAGCCGTAAAGTGTTTCCTTAAGTGAAAAGGTGGAAGGTCTCGACTTAACAAGGAGAGAAAAAATCGTTCACTGAGGTTAAGATCAACCGTAACATTTATTACAGTATATTGTTATAATTGGTCTTAAATTTTATTATTATTGTTGTTAATCTCTTACTGTGCCTAATTTATAAATTAAACTTTATCATAGGTATGTTCATATAGGAAAAAACATAGTGTATATATAGGGTTCATTACTATCCGTGGTTTCAAACATCCACTGGGGGTCTTGGAACATATCCCCCATAGATAAGGGAGGACGACTGTACTTATGTATATGACTTTACTTACACATACTTATTTATATGATTTACTTATATAATATGTAATTTGTTTATATATATATATTTGATATATATCTATATCAAAGTGTTTTCTCCCCTATTATTCCACTCAATGTTCCCATGAGGCTAGTGAGTCATGTAATTCAACAACTATTCTACACTATAGATGAGGAAATTAAGACTCCAGAGGTTAAGTGATTTGCCCACATTCAACAGTTAATTAACAGAAGAGGCAAGACTATAACTCAGAACTTCAAGGTTACTCAT